AAATATTCACTTACAATCAATTAGGTATAAACTTCTTTAATATCTAGTATATAATAACATGTACAACTTGGCAACATACTCAAACATGTCAGTTCTAACCTGGCACAGAGCAAATCTAAGTAGCAAAATTAACTATATCTGGGTATACCAATCTATTTTTTAATATTTTACTGAATACAAAATAGATAACCCTAACACTAGCACTTTTAGTGATCACAAAATTCTAATCTCCTGTTGGCCTTTCCTTTATACAGCTACAGGAAAACTAAAATACAAAACACATATCTGAAGAAAAATTTTTGACTACAAATCAATAGACCAAGAATAGTAGGATGTCTTTGCTTAGCAAGTTAACCTAAACTTAATATCAAAATATACATCCTTAACAACTATAACTTCTGAATCTTTAAAGATTACCTGGCATAAAATCCAAACCAGTCTAATTACAACAGCTCTACAATAAATTTCTAATAAAAAATATACAGTCCACAACTTTTAACACACCTTTTTACCAAGGCCACCTAGCTTTACTTCAGTCTCAAAAAGCTTAGCAATATAATAAGAACTATTAAGCACTTTATCAAGTATAGGCTTCAAACCCAACTCATTTTAATGATACAATAACCTGGCTTAATAATATACATCTTTTAGAAATATCTTTAATACTAGCCTAGTTCTCTACAGACTAGATAATCAAGGCTAACTCTGAATAGAAAAAGCTATATTATGCATGTAATCTAGAAAATATTAAACAAATACATCAACAAATAACAAAAGCAATTTTTAAAAGATGCACCAAACTTCAAACCAGTTTTATCTCTATGCTTAACAATATCTTAAACCAGTATAGAGATCTTGTAAAGTTTGATAATATCAAACTTGATTAGGATTTAATTACTAATCTAACAGATATTAAACTTTATATTTAACAGCACTTTTGTAACTTGATAGCCCTCTGTCCTATCAATCAAAATATCTTCAACTCATATTGGCAAACAGAATATAACTTCAAGTCTAATATTTAGCAAAACTGGTATTTAAATATACTCAAAAACTTTTTTCAAGAAGAAGTACTTACTACTCTTAGCTAGTTACCTAACAACAAAGCTTGTAAACCTTCTAGAATAAGCTATAAAATACTTAAACATGCTGGCTCTAGCTTTATACAAGCCATTACAGTACTTCTTAACTAATGCCTCCAGTCATACACAATTCTTAAGCAATAAAAAAAAGAAAGAATCTATCTTATCTCTAAAAAACTAATCTTTGATAGCAATCTAGTTAATACCAGGTCTATAAGTCTAATCAAATATACTAAAAAGCTTTATACTAAGCTAAGCTCCTCACCAACCACCTTAACAACACTTTATCTACAAAAAAAATCTTATCCCCTTTCAACTATATTGCACTTTCAGGCAACTCCACCTTGATTCCAATCTATATATTAAACAATATTATAGAAAACACAACATGCAACTCTAATCAACTATATTACAGAACATAAGCAAGCTATAACTTCATCAACTTTAGCTTATTTTAGAAATCCCTTAGCAGAATCTGCATGCCACAACCTCTTATTAATATCCTTACCAACCTTCTCACAGACTAATTAAATAGAGTTATTACTAATCTCAGTCTTACCAATTACTATACTGTCTAAAATGGAATTGACTAGGAAGAAACTATCACTCTACTTATATAGAGAATCTACTATGATCCACTTATTTCTAAAATCTCCCAACAACTATCTAGCTATACTATGCATACTTCATAGCAATCTAGCTTTATATTACCTTTTATTAAATATCTTCAGTACTCAATATCCATACTCACCTAAATGAATAACACTCTCTGGATAGCCCAATCTAAAGAAAACCTGAAAAAAATAATTCAAACTGCCTTATCATTCTACAGCATAGCTAATATTCAAGTTAATTCCTTCAAATCCATTTTCATTTCTAATCAAACTCTAGCCAGTATTCTCTTTTTACAAACAAACCTAATATCAATTCCTTCTAGCTAACCCTTTTAAGTTTTTTAGATATTGGTTTATACTTAACAACAAATACTCTAAGCAAATCAAACTAATCCAGAATGAGGCTCTCAATCTAGCCTATATAGCCAACTCCAAAAAAATTACAGACAAACAAATAATCTATATCATCAACATAGTTATAATTTCTATAGTTAAATACAGAATTTATAATATTATTATTCCACAATTAATATGTTTAAAAATTCTGGGCAAGTATCTTACAATTGCTAAGTACAAGGCCTATTTGGCTTGATTAGTTTCTAATAGCACTATACTCAACTACAATATCTATAATATTTGCAATATCTAGGATATATAGCTTCAGCACCATACTAGTAACTTTCTTTTTAGAATTAACAATAGATCCACACTTGGAACCACTATTTGTATTAGACCTCAGTAGCTACAAAACAACTTATAGTCTATAGCCAATATCCTACACTACCCCAGCAAACTATTGAGAGGCCCAACAAATATACTACTATACACAAGCTAATCCAATTACTCTAACAAGCATAAATTAGCATAACAACTAACTCTAATATAGCTTGGCCACAGACAATACTATCTAAAAGTAACAAGTACAAAACATTCAAACAGCAACTTAGAAACAAGTATATTCTTTTTCTAAAACAACTAATATTTATTGACAATCTATGCCTACTCGAGTAATAACACATCTCCTCCAGGCTCTTATATTTTCCTAAGAGAAAAAAATCATACTAGTTTTTATTTCTGAAAGATACTATAATTAGTGATCCACAGTACTACACTATATATACAAAATACCAACTACAAGGTATAAACCTATTTGCATTCTAGTTCAACTCTATTTCTAAAAAATTAAGACTATAGATTCTTACTTATCAATACAATAGAGTCATTATTGACTAAATAAAAAAGAATTTAGACAAATCAACACAGTTTTAATTACACACTGGTAGCATAATATAAACAAACAATATCATCTTTTATACTCCCTACCACCTATCACATATAGCTCATATTTTGGTTGCAAGCTTAACTCAAACTATCTAGTTAATTACTGTACTATTGAGGTGTATAATATTATATCTACACAATTTTTAGGCAGAAAAACAACTAACAAGAAAGTTAAACTCAATGCAAACTATATTGACTTTCTATATTCTATAGCAATCAAGCACCCAATTACTACTTCACCCTCTTCCAATATTTAGACTCTCTAGTTCCAATTCTCTTTCATATTAGTGAAGCATTCCCATTACTAATACAATATTTATTTCACAATAGTGATAAACAAGTATTTATCTTTTATACTAATAGCTTTGTTACAGATATTAGTACAAGTAACTGCTTAATAGAAATCAGTTGGGTACAAATATACAATAAACAAATTATCAATAGTTTCTTAGCAAGAATTCTTAACTAGCCTTCCTCTTACAAAGCAGAGCTTTTTGCAATTCTGTTAGCTATTTTTACACTATCACACAATATCAAGATTAATATCTATACTAACTTCCAATCAATTATTTTCAAATACAACAAACTTTTACTTACTTTTACCAAGTTCTTCAAGTATTTTAAATTCAACTATTAGCCTATTTGGCATACACTTCTCAATACTACTAAGGCTTTTAATATTCAACTTACTCTTTACAAGATTCAAGCATACTCAAATAATTTATTTAACAACAAGACAGACCTACTAGCCAAAGACTACCTGCATTCTACAACACACACTCTTGACTTTAACCATACAAATATATACAACCCAAATTTTGTCATCTAATAAAAGAAACAATATATAGAAAAGCCCACTAGACAATTCATCAAAAATATCAACAGAGCACTTACAGTAGCTATCTGGTTCTTACAAAAGTATAATGTGGAATGAGAGAACTATATTCAAACAATTAATTAGAACTCTATATAGTATTACCTTAACAATAACCAAAAGGCTATATCCAATATTATATTTTATAAACTTAGTTATATAAAAATTTTTAGAATTAAAAACATACTCAAAGTAAAAGGCCATTAAAACTCTTCTCATAGATCACTTAACCAAATTAGAAACAAGAAGAAAAAACTTTCCTGCGACAATATCTCAAGATTTTACTAAGTAAACTGATACTCAGCTCTTAATTAAAGTTATCCAGCACCTTTATGTCTACTTAAAAGAGGTGTTCTTTTTAAAAAATGAGCGATACCCCAAAAAGATACAAGCAATAAACTCCAAAAAGGACCAAAAAGCCTTCTTTTTGCTACTTCGCAAAAGCGGTCTTCAGGACCACCCAAACTCGAATAATACAAAACAAACAAACAGCTATACTCTAAACAAAAATTTAGTCAAACAAGGTTTACTAGCCTCACCTGAACCCCAAGCTCACCCCAAAGATATGGTCTCCGATAGCCCTCTTCCTACTTTGGAATTTTTTCTCTCTCGCGCAAACAAGCAGAAGCAAAAAATACTCCTACTAGCGACAAGCTCACAACTCCAGAATCCGAGCACACTAAAAAATTTGGCAACATTACTATCAAAGACTGGTCAAAATTAGCCTTTACTGTCAGCTTCTCTATTCCAGAGCAGTCTAATGACTTTCTCTTCTATACTGATATTACCAAATCTGGCAAGATTTCCAACTTGGTAGATTATCCTTCACAATGGATATGCAAACATGATGACCCTAACCAATCAGTCCTCTTCAACCTTACCTCGCACAAAAACAACATCATAAATATTAGTGCCAAACAATCTAGAAACACCCGTAGCTGTGACCTGACCACTATTACAAAAGCCTACGAAAGTAGTATGAAACCTTACACTAAAGCTAAAAGCCTTTTAGATCTTATACTTATCCTGTACAACTCTATTGTGGAACTCGAATCTGATAATGAATCAAATAAAAGCACTAACGAAACAGTTCTACCTTACACCACCTCTAATATAAAACCAGCCTCTACAGATACCAATAACACAAGCATGGACACAACACCTCAAGTTATTACACCAAACATGCAAATTACTACACTTGTACAGACTACACCCACTCCAGGCCCCAGTACTACACTAACAACAACCGCAACAATAATGGATACAGATACAACCTCATATACAACAGTGCACTATACAGCTATGGGTACACAATCGCACTTGTCAACCTCTGTACTCTGACCATCTACACCCCCTAGTCAAATTACACCAAACCCTCTGTCTACTACTCAACGAAACCCACCACCTCTGCCCGAAGCTATCACTAACAGAAAGCGTGGCAGAAATATCTCCCTCCTATTACTATCTCTAATAAAGCTAATAAGACCTCTATGAGTAGTATTCCACCTCAGCTAGACTACAAACCAATAGTGCTACACTGAGTAACAAGCCCACATATAGCCAAATAGCAAAAACTAATCTTAGCCTCCTATTAATAGAAACACCAGACGATATGGAATGGGCAGCAATAGTCTACCAAAGAGCCACACCTACCAAAATACCCTTTGACTCAGAAACTTGGTCATATGACTACATTGCAGAGGCACTTAAAACACCAGAGGGAATCCACAATTTCGTTAGCTACAAGCTCTCAGCAACTCATACCCAACATAAAATACCAGATGCAATCTCACTCAAATTTCTCCACTGTGATACCAGATTTTTACTACATTTACACACAATCTCAAGACTACACCTGCACACCAGAAGGAGTATACAAACCTCTTTAATAAAGCCCTCTCAGCATACAAAGAAGAACACGAGATTACACTTACGAACCTTGATATTCGCAATACTATTACTACCATGTTAAGGAAAATGCTAATCTCACAATACCTCACCAATATTGACTTTACTCACATTCCACATAGAAAAATCTACAAAATTATTCACTATGCTAGGGGCTTTCTACAAATCAAAAATACAGATGAGAACACATACAAAGAAATTACAGAACACATCAACAAAGCATTCGAAGATAAACTTATCCCGCTCTCAAATTCGCCAAAGCAAATACCACCTGAGATTTATAACATGCTTCCTTTCCGTCTCCCAATTACACAATGCTCACACACCAGAGCAATTGTCAATGCTCTAAGAAGAATATTCAAATTTTCAGAACTCCCACCCTCATACTTTGCTAAGCTCTCTACACTTCCTAACCACTATAGAGAACTCTCACCAAGCCTACGTTAACTTTTCCCTATTTCTCACAGATCTGCACTCCAACACCTGGCCACCTACAAAAGAAAACTCGCAAACTTCTATACAGTAACCCAAATTCCAAATGCATACTTCGACCTACCACCTCCTAAAAAGCCTTTGCCAACTACCTACTAAAAGCTTAACCCCAGAGTCCGCAAGCTATTCCCATTCAACCAGGCAACGTCATCAATCCCACTTACAGAAGTGGTAGCTCTACTCAGAGAGTACTATATATTTAAATTGCTACCTAATGACTACTTAGTATCCAAGCCTCCTCTGCTCATGGATCCCAAAAATATTAAAACCAACACAGAATTCATCTACCTAATTACAGATGATTCAATCACAAAAGAGTTCATTAAGCAAGTCTCTGCAAAATACAGAATTAGGTTTCCTCATTCACCTGAAATTATGTAAACAAATCCCACTGACAAACCTAATCTCCCACCCACCGCACAAATTACAAAGGATTTTAATACTGATTTTCCAATACAACACCCCAACAACTCACAGAGACAGCTAGACTCCTATGCAAATACTACTACTTCTCGCAACTCCCCACAGACTAGATTCAACTAAACAACGACAACACCCCAAATACAGAAAATACAGACACCATCGTGAACACAAAGGCCCTACCTATTATCCCCAAAGATATAGAAGAGATCATTGAAACACTATCTAAGCAAGAGGTTATAGTCTCACTTCCAATCCAAAAACAGCAAGACATAGCCCCAACTATGAAAACTCTCAGACAATTCTACAAGATTCCAACTATTCCAGAAACCCTACTACAACTTCCACCCCTTCCTACACCAAAATAGAACATTTTAATGACATCTATATGCAAGATCTACCACCAACTCCCAGTACAGCCCAAAGCTTCGCATTGGCCCCAGAGACAGAAACTACAGAGCTAGTCTCTTCTACAAACACCCCAACCCTCCTTTTAGCCGAAACCACTAAATCTACCTTCACTGAAACAAATAACATACACCTATCTCATAGTGAAATCACCCTTCCACTGGATAACCCAACACCAATAGACACAAACGAGCACTTTTATGAGTAGACCAAACAACTCATGAAACTCAAACACCCTTCATCCCAATATTGCCCAAAACACACTGCTTCACCCACTAACACTCTCTATTTGTACACACAATGTACAAGGCTTTAACACAAGTACAAAGAAAGAAGCTTGGAAACACTACTGTCTACAAGAAAACTTAGACATTGTTAGTATAATCGAAACCAAACTCTTTAGCAAATCTACCCCACGCAAACAACACAAAACTAAACACTTCACCTACCTCTGGTCATATATAGACAGTTCCAAAGCTGGAACAGCTATTATGATCTGCAACACTCTTACTCCATATATCCATAACATCACTACAGTACCAGGATACGCAATAGCAATCGACCTGTTTTTCAAACATGACTTTAAATTCTGCATTATTTCCCTTTACCTCCCTAGCAATGATGCACAACTCCATCTACAAACCCAAAACACTATAATCCAGTAGTTGCAGCAAGCCAAAGCCCAAAACATTCTGCCAATAGCTCTAGGAGACTTTAATGTGTTCACAGAAAATATTCACTCCCAATCAATTAAATACAAGCTTCTTCAATATTTGGCCTACAACAACATGTATGACCTAGCATCATATTCCAACAAGTCAACATACACATAGCATAGAGCCAACCTTAGTAGTGAAATTGATTTTATCTGGGCATATCAGCCTATTCTACAGTACCTTACAGACTATAATACAGATGATGCTAGCACCCAAAGCGATCACAAAATCCTTATCTCCCATTGGCTTTTTCCCCATGCACTAGTTGAACAACAAAGACACAAAACTTGTACTCAAAGAAGAAGAATCAACTACAAAGTAATGGACCAAGAGAAATGAGAAAACTTTGCAGAACAAGTCACCTCCAACCTACAACAACACAACACACTCTTCACACCAGTAAATGCAGAATCTCTCAAAACTACCTGGCACAAAATTCAAACTAGTCTGATTACTGCAGCACTTAAGCACATCCCTAACAAAAGGTTTGCAGTTCGAAACTTCCACCACGTATTTTCACCTAAAGCTACACAGCTCTACCACAACCTTAAAAAACTTGGCAATACAATAAGAATAGCTAAACACTTAATTAGATCTGGCCAACAAACTTCTACCCATCTTGATATAGCAATTACAGAGCTCAACAGCCTACACAATCAAGAAATACCCTTATGGACACCAAACACAGACTGAATAGCCAAGGCCAACTCCGAATAGAAGAAGCTATACCACATGCGCAATCTAGAAAACATCAGACAAATACATCAACATAATTACTGATACAATTGCAAAAAGATGCACCAAACTCCAGACTAGCCCAACCTCTATGCTCAATAGTATACTAAACTGATACAAAGACCCAGTAAAGTTTGATAATATTAAACTAGCACAAGACATTATTACAGACCCTACAACTATCTAAAAATATAAAGCGCAGACTGCGTAAGATTCGGGACCTGGGATTTTTCCTGGGTCCCTTAATATAAAGCGCAACCTGCGTAAGAAAAAATCCGTTAGTACATATGCAACATAGAATATGTACTACGTGGATTTTTTCTGACAATTAAAAAAAATTTTAAAAAAGTATATTCCGGACAAAAAATCTGTTTAGCGAATTAAAATCGCCTCGGAGGATCGTAAGATATGGTGTATTTAGTCTTCGCGACTATATGTTTTCTCCTTCTTTTAGTCGCGAAGACTAAATTTAAAATTTAAACTCTGACTAAGTGTCGCGAAAATTTGACTTCGGAATTTGAGGTCCCAGAAATTTTCGGGGCCTGGTCGGAGATTTAAAACTCCGACTAAGTGTCACGAA